TTACCTTCATAACAGTTTTCCCACTTCTATCTACCTATACATTAGCTATGAATTAGTCCATTCAGTATATATTTATAAACTTGGGCAGTGTGAAATGTTTAACTGTGTCATAAGGGTATGACAAATGTCAGGAAAGCAAAACAAAATTGTACATTTCAGTTTTTTTTTTTTTCAGTCCTGCTGGGCACAGGGACACTGTTTAACTTGGAAATGGCAAACTGCACTTAATCTTCCAACACTCCCACCTCATTTATATGTTTACTAAGTATTCATCTTCATGAGCCACATCAATCCTGCAGGGAGAGGCACTCTATTTTTTGTCTATGGAGCCAGCAAAGAGTATATGACATAGAGTCTTCAAGAAACATTTTCCAGCAAACTGTAAGCTATTACTAGACTCTGCACTGATATTTTGCAGTCAACTATTCCAATCTCTCTTTAGGCATGGAGTAACAAAAATACACTTAAATGTCTTATCTTGTCTTCAAGTGTTGGAGACATGGCTCAGTGGGCTGAGCACAGGTTTTGCATGTAGGAGGCCTAGGTTTGATTTCCCAGCACCATATTGTCCAAGTAATGTAACTTGTGGTCTCAAATATCTCACACACACACACACACATACATCCCCCAAGAGGATGGTAGGTTGTCAAAGGTGCCTATCTCACAAGTGTGAGGCTATCATTACATACCTGGTGTGTGACACCTCCAATCGCAGCAAATATGGCAACTAAATTTGTGTCAATACTATGATCAGGAGTGTGAACCCTGTAGGCACATGTGTGAGTTTCACAGAATCCCTGGGGAATATTTCAACCAGAATGTGCAAGCGTGCCACAATTAGGAGCTATAGGACAGTGGGTAGGGTATTTGCATGTGGCTGACCTGGCTTCAATCCCGGTTCTAAACCTGGTCCACCGGGCCTGGCCAGGAGTCATCTGAGTACATAGCCCAGAGCATCACCAGATGTAACTCCCAAAAGCAAAGAAACTAAATATAAAAAGAATGCCACAATTAAAGCAGTGCAGTCCCCAGTAAGCACTGCTGCAAAAGTGAGAGCAATATAACCAAATGAATGTATAACACAGTGGGCACCAAAACCAAGGATACAACCCCCAGTCATAACAATAACAGCAACAAAGAAAGGGAAGGGGTAAAGAAACATATGTGGGACTATGTACTATAATACAGCAGGTAGAGCATTTGCCTTGCACGCAGCTGATCCAGGTTCGATTTCCAGCATCCAATATGGTTCCCCAAGCACTGCCAGGAGTAATTCTTGAGTGCAAAGCCAGGAGTAATCTGTGTGCATCTCTGGGTGTGACTCAAAAAGAAAAAAAAGAAACATGTGCATATATATATATATATATATATATCATATATATCACTGGGCTGGAGCGATAGCACAGCGGGTAGGGCATTTGCCTTTCACGCAGCCAAGATGGCTGACCCGAATTCGATTCCTCCATGGCTCTCAGAGAGCCCGGCAAGCTACCGAGAGTATCTCGCCTGCATGGCAAAGCCTGGCAAGCTCCCCATGACATATTCAACATGCCAAACATAGTAACAACAAGTCTCATAATGGATATGTCACTGGGCCCGCTCGAGCAAATCAATGGACAACGGGAGGGCAATGCTATATATCACTATCACTGTGATCCCTTTGTTCAACGATTTGCTTGAGCAGGTGCCAGTTATGTCTCCATTTATCCCTGTCACATGCTAGTGTAGCCCGATGGCATATTGGGGGCACTTTCAGGGTCAGGGGAATGAGGACCATCATTGTTACTGTTTGGGGCATATCAAGTATGCCATGGGTAGCTTGCCAGGCTCTGCTGTGCGGGCAGAATACTCTCAGTAACTTGCCGGGCTCTCTGAGAGGGACTGAGGTTTTTGGGGCAGCCTCTAATCACCTTTACAGGTGTTCCCCATCAGGCGGGCAGGATATCTCAGTAGCCTGCTGGGTTCTCTGAGAGTGAGAACTAGACAATAAGAGGTTGCATGGGAGTTTGGTTTTATAGTCCCTGGATCTTGGCCATTGGTGGCGTTATACGGCAGTTGGTGGGTGTAACTGTCTAGCTACTGGAAGATGGGGGATCTGGGTGGAGGAGGCCAATTCCCAAACCGAGCAGTCTTGGCGATCTCAACCCCAGGTCCCGCACACCTGGGTTCCTCTGCTGGTTCCTTCATGTGTGAGAGAGTGGTCCATATGACTGTGGAGCATGTGGTCCCAATGGCTGTGGCTAGGTCCCGGAGGTCTTCAGCTGACGGGGTTCTGCTCGGGGCGGAGAGGGAAACTCAACCCAACGCCTCCAAGGGGGCAACATATATATATATGTATTTATATAATATATATGATCATATATATGTATATATATGATTATGATTTTTATGCATAAGCCAATGTTTCCCAAATTGGGTGATACTGTCCCTGCCAGACACTGGAAACAATCTAGAGGGCTGTAAGTAGCCTCAGGTGCAAATAATGTGTGCTTTCTATTTGTACACTTTATAAAGCTAACTAAATGTGGGAGGGGTTGATTTATTTTCTAAAAAGGGAATGTTAGACCAAAGAAGTTTGCGAACTTTTGGAATAAGGCAATCCATAGGAAAACTCTAAGAGACCCTATTAATTAATCTCTATTAATAATAAGATGGGGGCTAGAAAGATACTCTAGGGAGCAAGGCACTTGCCTTGCATATGGCTGACAACTGCTCAATCTCCCAACACCATATATAGTTCCCTGAGAACCACCAGGGATAAGCAAAGAGCTAAGAATAGGTCCTGAGCACCCAGGGTGTGGCCCCCAAATAAAATAAGCATAGCACTATCCACTGAAGCACTGTCCTCCCGTTGTTCATTGATTTGCTCGAGCGGGCACCAGTAAAATATCTCCATTGTGAGACTTCTTGCTGTTTTTGACATATCGAATACTTCATGGGTAGCTTTCCAGGCTTTGTCGTGTGTGGGGGGATACTCTAGGTAGCTTGCCGGGTTCTCCGTGAGGGACAGAGGAATCAAACCTGGGTCGGTCACATGCAAGGCAAATGCCCTACCCGCTGTGCTATTGCTCCAGCCCAAAATAAGCATAAGAAAAATTATTTATTAGACATTAATAAAGATCACAAAGTTTACTGAGATCTCAAAAGCAGTGTGTTAAGGCAGTGTCTCAATTACTCGGGTCTCAAATTAGCATTCAGTATTCCACATATTACATAACTGATTCACAATGATGTTATGTAGTCACTTCTTTAATATGCTAGCTTTCTTATTTATTAAAATTGTGCAACTTGTTCTTAATTGTGTAAAAAGTAACCAGAAAGAACTTAGGAGGCAAAGACTGAAAGGTAATATCTAATAATATTTGAAGAAGCATCTGATAATTCTAACAATTCAGCAATGTCCATGCCTATGTTATTTTTTTCTTAGAAACATGGTGGAGAGAGAGAATGTGTGTGTGTGTGTGTTATCTCTTGAACACATATTCCTCTCCTCTCTCCTCACAAATTCTATATAACTTCACCTATAATGTGGAATCTTAAAATGAACAATCTTTTATTTTATGCTAATAATGCTATTATTAGGTGGTTATTTATGAAACATAGTGGAACTGGTAACTATCAAGAGCAGGTGATAGGGTAAATCAGTGGAGGGGGTAAAAGGTGACTGCGTTCTGGTGATAAAGGCTCAGGAGAGTACTATAGTATATCAATACTCTACTGTGGACTTTATTGTTGCCAAGAATGGTGAATGTGTAAGTGAGAGGAACTTGGGTTTAAATTACCGGTTCCACTACTGTTTCTTTGGTTTGGAGGTCACCCAGGACACTACTCAGGGCTTACTCCTGGCTGTGTGCTCAGGGGCTACTCCTGGCAGGGCTGGGGGACATATATGGTACATGGGATCAAATCAGTGTCAGCTGCATACAAGGCAAGCGTCTTACCTGCTGTATAAACTCTCCCACCCAACAATGTGTTGTCTTCTGAGGAGTTAAACGGGACACGTGAAACAGTAATTGAGTGTTTACTAGAGCCCCAACACTCTTAGGTACAGACCTGTAACAACTTTCAAGTTAGCAAACGTTTTTTGTCCTTCATTTTTGTACTGACACTTGGACATGACATTTTGAAAACGTAATTAACACCTGGTAGGTTCCCAAAGGAACCTGCAGAGCGAAATCCCAATAATTGCTATTATTAGATGGTTACTGCTGTTTTTATTTTAGGGTACTCTCAGAAGAGCTTGTCTCGGTCCTGGACGGGCATTTGAAATGGAGTTACTGGAAAGCACCGCTGTGGCTGGCTGAATTCAGTAACATGTCCAAGTCACCAGCCAATCACATTTCCCACGCTGCTTTTCTCCTCATTCATTTTCCTGCTTTCCAATTTCCCTCTCTTACACGTGCGGGACTCAGGGTGAAGGACAGTCGCACTCTGACCGTCCCCGCCCCCTCCCCCCAGTTCCCCTATCGTAGCCGAGATCCCGGGGCGGGGGGAACCTTGGCTTTAAGTCACCTGAAGCAGGTCTGGGGGCGGGGAGTCAGAAACGCCTGAGCCGAGTCATGCATCCACTCAGAGGCGCGGTCCCAGGCTGGGACGTTGGCAGGGCGGGAATGAGCCAGGTCCCAAGGACCTCACTCCCACAAAGTCGGGGAGCCCACATGGACTTGCATCACTCCCAAACTTTCCACCCAAACGTGCGCCAGCCTCGCAAGGCTGCCTGCAACGTGGCCGCCTCGGGGACGCCCGTCCGCTTCCCGGGACACCTAAACTCTTCGTCTCTCCCTCCAGGCCGAGTCGTGTCCCCACTCCCCCGACACCCGGGACCTTCCCTCTGCACCTGCACGGAGCCACCCCCTTCGCCGACTCCAACGGGCCCGGCCGAACCCTTCTGCCAGAAGGAGCCGGGACTCTCCAGACACCGCCCGGCAGCAACGGGACGGGGGCAGGGCCAACGGCGGGACCGCCCCCAAACTCCTCCCGGGCCAAGCGAGCGGGCGGGTGGCTGGGGCGCCTCCACCTCCTCTTCCTAAAGCGGCGAAGCGCAGACGAGCGGCATCACTCGAGCCCAGGTCGCCGGCACCGCCACACCCCGAGCCCCGCATCCAGGAAGCGGAGCTCCAGCGGAGGCGTCTACTTGGGTTGGCCGGTGCCAGAAAGGTAAACTGAGTCCCCGGGAGTCGCTCCCCACCCACCACCCCCGGCCCGCGCCCACCTCTGCGCTCCCCCCACCCCGGGGGCGCCGCGCCGCCCGGCCGGTAACCCCACTTCTGTGTGTCCTTCCAGGCCCGGGTCGAAAAGCCTCGGAGGGCCGCCCAGCTACCCCTGGAGGAGGAGCCAGCCCGAGCTCCTGGCGCCACCGCCGCGCGGAGAGCGCGGAGCAGCAGCCGCCTCCATGGCCCACTCCCCGGTGGCGGTCCAAGTGCCCGGGATGCAGGTGAGGAAGCCCGCCCCCCGCGCCCACGTGACCGCCGGGAGCCGGGTGCTGGCCCGGGGCGGCCCCGGGGCTCCCCCCGAGGCAGGGCTGGACTCGTGGGCCAGGTGATCGGGTGGCAGCATTGAGGCTCCGAGCGTCCCCCACCCCCAAGGCTCCTGGGCCAGGCGGTGCCTTGGCCCGGGAAGATGAGGAGTTCGAGGGGCGCGCGGCGAGAGGAGGATGGGGGTGCGGGGTGGGGGCGGCTGTTTAAAAATAGGCCCGAGCCCGAGAAGACACCTGCGCCCGCTGAGCCTTGGAAGGTCAGGCTTGGAAGTGGGAGGACTTGGGGAGAGATGGAGGCAGCTCGGGATCGGTGGGATCCCCAACTCCAGCCCGGTTCCCTCCGGGCTCCGTCCCCCCGCCCCTCCACCCGGCGCGCACACAGAAGTTGGGGCGGAGCGAGATCGGGGTGGGGGGGAGGAGGGGGGCGGTTGTCGGTGGCGGTTTTGAATTTGGGCTCTTCCTGTGTGCGCAAAGCGAAGAGCAAGAGCCGAGGTGACGACTTTTCCCCATTTTGGTGAACTTGCTGAAGGGCCGCCGACTTGTGTCTTGCTCCCCCACCTGGTCCAGCCCCGGAGCGGAGCGTGAGAAAATGCAGGGTCCACCGAAGGGAGGGGGAGCTCCCGGCTCCCTCCTACAGCCTTTCCCACCAGATTGTTGCATGTGGTTCAAGGCAGCTTTTTGTCCCAGACAAGGGAGTGTTGCGTGGGACCCAACTTCTTACTTGCGATCTAGCCACCCGGTCCCCGCCTCTCCACCCTCCCCACCATTCCATTTTCATTTCATTAAGGAAGAAATGAGTGATGTCCACACCCCCTCCTGTTTTGCTGTTGCTTTTTAAAACCGGTGCGTTTACTTCATCCTAGCAGGGCGGTGTGCTGCAAGTCTACCAACTTTTTAAGCATTCCCGTTTTCTTTGTTTTTCTTTCTTTGCTAGATTAAACGGCCCATTTGTGAAAAGCTCAGAGACTAGAAACACTAGAAACACGCGTTCTCTTTGAATGTGGCGAAGACAAACTTTTGTTGAAGTTTAGCTCAGATGTTTGGAGCAGTAAATCGACAACTTATGTTCCCAGTCCAAGTACTGGGGAATGGGGGCTCGCTTTACTAATTGCTGTATGGAATTCATCTCTCTCTCTTTTTTTTTATTTTTGCAGTAGTTGGTCACATTTTATGCATGGTCACCCAAAACTCCCCCAAACAAACAAACAAAACCTAGTAACTTTAAAAATACTTTCCCTAAAAAGGACTATTTGTGTTGGTCATCTCTCTATGCGGGGAATCGCGTGTCTGAAATACCAGGCCTTTGAACTGAGTTTAGGGCAAGTTTGTGGTGAGTCCCAGGAAACCCATGTGCATTTAATATGAAAAAGAGAGTGAGAGGGAGAGAGAGGGAGGGAGGAGAGAGACCGGAAATTGAAAGATATTAGGGCTATTTTATTTAGTCCCTTCAAGTTTTACGAAATGCCTCAAACTTCTTAAGCTAAGCTTCTCGCCCCCCTCTCCCCCGTCCCCATCCACCCTGCCCCACACCCCATTCATTCAGTTCTGCCTTTTATTATATCAAGAGAATTAATAGGAGGCGGTCCCGACTTCTGTTTTCTGTTTGGTGTGGAAGAAAGTGTGAGAAATGCCCCCATGGTGCACGCCTTTCCCTTCTTGAGAGAGTAGAAAGTTACAGATGGAAAGTTTGCCTCTGAGCGGCTCCACACTTCCCTCTCCATTGTGTGCACGCGCCTGCAGGCCTGCGGCACCCTTGTGGCTCTCGTTCATCAAGTTTGTGATTCTGAGGGCCTCTGAGAGCAGAGGGAAAGAATGCTTTCTGGCCTTTCTTTTCATTTGTGTGGACTTGAGTGGATGGATATGAGTTCTGATCTTTATTTCATTGAGTTAGGTGGCGTAGGAACAGCTTGCTGTTCAGTATTTCTTATATTTCCCTGCTTTGTTTCATGATCTGATTTGCCTCTGTTGAGTGTTTTGATCTTAATTCAGCTGGCTTTGTATGTGAACTGGTATTTGAAATTCCCAGTCCTGTTTTTGACTTTTGCCTCTCCAAAGTTGTGACGACTTTGCCTCATCTAATTTGGGTAAGGGAATCGTTTCAGTGTTAGCAAGAGAGGACTGTTCGTTTGTCCTCCTGCGTCTTATTAGGATGGTGAAGTATGGACTACGTTTGCTGTTCTTTGATTTAAGAGAATTGCAGAAGAGATGCCAAAATATATCATAAACTTAAAAAAATTCTCTTAGAATTTTGTTAGAGAAGTGGAGTGACTCTCAGTCCGAGTATTACTAAGGAAACTTCAATTCGCCATGTGTTCTTGGAATTACTATTTAGTATTTCCACAAATCGGTAAAGTGGTTGACTGGCCTGCAGCTTTTTAACAGTTTGTTTTAGAGAATTAGGAAGATTGATGGAAAAAATGATTTTTCCAGGAAAAATTTGACTTTACCCACAGTGTTTTTCTCTCCCTGAGGAGAGACATGAAGTAAGAACCAAGCTACCTGTTCTATCACTTAAGAATTCCAGCATTCCTGACTTTCAAACAAAGAAATTTCTGTTGCCACTAGTTTAAAATAGAAAAGAAACTTGGAGTGATGAAAGAAAACCCAGAGTTTGGTTCAGCTAAAACTCTTCCTTATGAATTAGTTATTCAAACTCATATTGTTGATATTTCCTAAGATGGTAGTAGTGAATTTTTTTGCCATATTCCACCAAATGTTAAAGGTCTGAATGCTTTGCATTTAATTTGTGCTTGCTTTTTAAGTATATAACTAAAGGAATTTTCCATACCAGGAGCTAAACTCTTGAAAAATACTTAAAGTACAACTTCAAGAAAAACAAGAAAGAAACCAATAAATCTGTTTCTTTCCACTCAAGTATTTATTCTCTAATGATTTAAAAGTTCTTTTCTTTGTAGTTTTCAGTTATATATCATACCTAAGTTTAAGATAGTTCCCCGTAGAAAATGCATCAGTAGTTTTTAAAGCTAGTATTCTAAATGGGTTGTTACTTTTTTTCTTATTAAATGGAGGTGGGAAAATAAGTCAAATGTTGAATTTGAAAATAAGTGTTATTATATTAGGCTTGATGTGATACCTCTTGTGAAAGAAGTCTTTTAAGTTCCTGGTAAAGAATTTAAATTAAACTCGTGTATCTTTAAATATTATCAAGGTCGTATGATTTTTTAAGTTGTTATTTGAGATGTGAAATGAAAAGAAACTTTAAGGATTAATAGGCACTTTATTGAAGGCTTGTATCTAAGAAGTAGAAAATATTGCCTTCCATTAGTAAGCCTGGGTACTATTCTCTGGGAAGGATACAGAAGTGCATGACATACTTTCTGTGCTTCAGTTCTTCAACTGATTTTGTGAATTAAATCTAGCATAGGAACTATATGATAATACAAATTCTATGATACTTGCACTATCTGAAAGGTTTGTTAATGACAGAGAAGAAGGCTTATAACTAATCCCAAAGGAATGTTAGAGTCCATACTGGAGAGGGCATTTTCAGGCAGGGAAATAACCTAAGCAAAGGCATGTTAGCAGGGAAGGGCATATCCTTAAGTGTGGGTGTGCACACACAGTCTTTCAGAGTGGGATAAAATCACTTGGACTATGATAAAAAAATTCTTCTAAAGAAGTAATATGAGCAATGATTGGAAAACATGATTGGGTCCAGAGTAGTACTTGGATGTTAGGTGAAAATTCTAGGCCTTGGGCTAATTAAACAATTCTGAATAAGGGAGACTAAATGAACAAAGTTAGAGAAATAAAATTTCTGATATTGCACAAATGGATGAACTAGAAGCATTGTCTGATTGCTTTCAGTGGACCTAATACTGTGATGAAAAATGCAGTTAATAGGCTTAATTCCCTAGTTACAGAAGATGGAAGCAAAGCCTTTTTGTAATGTTGAATATGGACAAACTATGGTACATCTGAAAGATACTGGAAAGTCAAGGGAAAAACACCAGGTCAGAAAGTGAGTTAACGATTTCTGTCCTAGACTGGTGGAAATTGCGGTAACAATGGGATAACAAAAACCATGTAGAACAAGGGCCAGCTGTGTGGCTCCATGTTAGAGCCTATACCTCACACGTGTGAGATGCTGGGTTTGATTCCTGGCCTGGCAAAATAACAATAACGAAACTGTAGAATAATATACCAGTTAGCTTGATTGTGGTAATGGTTTCAAAGTTATATGTTTATGCCCAAGATTGTCACATTATATATACATATGTAAATTTTTGTCATCTTAATATACCATTATAAATTTGTTTATGATTTTTAGAATTTTATTATTATTATCCCACAGCTGGTGGTGCTCACGGCTTACTCCTTGGTCTGTGCTCAGGGATCACTCCTGGTGGGCTCAGGGGACCCCAGAGCCCACCAGGAGTATTGGGAGTCAAGCGCTGGGACGACTGCATGCAAGGCAAACACCCTGCCCAATATACTATTACTCCAACCCCCAAACTTTGTTGTTTTTTTAGGCGTCCATCAAGTATGTGCTATAGGTGCGGAGTGTTAGTTGTGTGTTCCACTTTTATTGAGCATTTACTATGTGCTAGTCATTTCGCCTGAAACTGAAGGGTAGTAATTGACAGGGAGGGAGAGGTTCCAAACATCAGCAAATGTGGAAGTGCAGCCTCTCATGAGACAAGCAGCATTGGCCAATGATTAGCAATAACTTTTAAGATGCATGAGAGGATGAGAAATTGTGTCCGGATTGGAAGGGAATTAACTGAAGGAAATTGTTTTAACTCTTATCCTGAAATCTGAATTAGGAATTCTGCTTGGTGCCAGAAACTGGTGTGTGGAGTTCTTACCTTATTCATCTGAAGAGACTAGTCAGCTTCACAATTTGAGGAGAGAAGAATTGTTTTGCACTGATAAGCCCAAACCATTATCCTTGTGGAGCAGTGGTTGATACAAAGATGTTGAATATGCTAATGATA